AAAAGAACTCAAAAGTCACAAACACAAAAGGCCCACTTTTGCTGAAAACAGGACCAGACGAAGGAAACGTTAATCGTTGCTCCTTCACATCTGGGGTAGTACTGGTTGTTCCTTTTCCTTTTATTTATTTATTTATGGTTATGTTCCTATTTTCACTTTCAGTTTGTTTCCTGTGGCTTCAACTTCAAGTTGCTAAACGGGTGTTGGAATTGTCTCTTTAACAAGAATATGACGACTGCTTCAGTGGATCTCTGTTGGTAGATTTACAGCAGTTGCATTGATAAACGTGCCCGGACCTTTTTTCTTCCCCCATTTTTAAGAATTATTAAAGAAAAAGAAATTAAGAAAAGAAGAAAGAAAGCGAGCTTCGTCCAGGTCCAATAGTCATGACCATGGGCTTCGTGACCGTGGAATTCGACTATGATTGATTGTCGCTTAACCCAAAAAAGGCCCAATAACCCAAAAATTTTATATATATATATATTTTTTCATGTGCATTTGCATTGAGCTGAAGTAGTTTATTCAAACGGAGATGGCTTTACACTTCACCAAAAAACTTAGCAAGACCGACGTTGAGAAGAGTTTGTTATTGCCTACTAGGTATATGAAGCATCTGCCAGGCTTTCGGGGAGGTCACGCTGTAAACTTACCCGTCATGGATGTGCACCTGACCGACTGCATGGCACTTTGGTTACACCATTCGAAGGAAAGATCATCCAAAACCGGTCCTTTCCATGGGCTGGCGTAATTTTATAAAATGCAAATGTCTCAGGCCCGGAGACAGGATCATATTTAAGATGGAGGCGAATGTTGCTGCTGCTCCAGGACCACTCTACATAATTGGAGTGAAAAGAAGAATCAGACTTCTCGGTAAAGAGGTTTGGACTGCTGTGTTTTAAAGAGAAAATGATGCTTGATGGATTTTTTTCCCCCACTTTCTTATTGAACTGTGTGTTTTCTCCTCTTTCATAATAATCTTGTCATCCCCTTTCAGTTGTTGTTGTTGCAAGCCTCTTCTTTTCTTCTTTTCCTTACGTAAGTTTTTTCATGGTTGTATCATGTGTGTATATATATATCGGCAGTGACTGTTGGGGGCTGTTGATGGCTGTTGATGGCCTAGTCTCTTGATACCTTTGCACCCGAAGAAGTTTTCATGCATGCAATACTTTCAGTTGCTTCAAAATTTCACTAAAGTTCGGCGGATTTTTTTCTATTTGTCTTTTATTTTTTATTTTTTGTTTATATTCTATTTTTACAAAAAAAAAAAGAAAAAATTAATAATATCAACTAAAGGCCTAAAGTTTCCATATACTTATTTTTAGTAGTAGTAAGGACCTCAGACATTTTATCACGTTTTTCTTATTTATTTAATTCATTCAACAGAGAATAATATCAAGCAATTTTTTTATTTCATTTTTCATTATTTACCCTTCCCGACAAATTCAAAAAGAGCATCGCAATTATGGTAGACAAAGAATATACTGGAACTTACGTCGCTACATGTTACAAACAAGGCAAAACTTGGATAAAGAACAGGGGCCCTTAAACCACTAAGGCCCAATCTATAAGGATTAATGGGTCCATGTGCACTCTGCAAGGCCCAATAAGGACTGACGGTCCACAGGCCTAAAAGCTTCGCTACGGGTTTAGTCGACAAGTCCGAGTCGCCGCAATTTCCGTTCCTGAGTTGGGAGTCGTTGGAAGTTTCGACTATCAGTCAATCGCCGGGCATCATTATCTCCGACGCTCCCTCTTTTGTCTGAACCAAACGCCTTATTAGTTCACAAGAGAAGAACAATCTCGTGAACCGATGGTAAAAACTAGACAGCAAAAATCCAAACCCAAGAAACAACATCCCCAAGTAAGTTTCAGTAAATTCTTTTCTTTATGATCTTTGATCTTTTTCCTTCTTTGGCTTTTCTCAATTCAGTTTATAGTCTAGATTTGTTTGTGTGTGATTAACTGAAGCATGACAAATTTATCAAGAAGAAAGAAAAAGAAATTGCTGTCGATATCAATGTCCAATGATAAAAAAGGTAAGGATAAAACAAAGTTTACGTTGAATAAACATGCGAATTTTCTTTTTATAGAAATCATTCTTTGAATAGGTTTGCATATGCAGTTAGAGAATGCCGCTGGTAGAATGACAGTTCAATTTAATGCTTTTAGTAGTTGGTTGTTTCTTCATTCCGTTTGGTGGACCAGGTAAAAACGCAGGGAAAGCAGACAGATATTTCTCGGTTGCGTGCCCAGCTTGATGCACTGGGCCTACAAATCATCCAAGTGACTGCAGATGGTAATTGTTTCTTCAGGTTCGTGTCTCTTAGATTCTAACTTTTTCTCCCCTCATTCTTTTGGAAAATACTTTTACTATGTACTCATTTAGCATTTACATCATTTGCATTTATAATCTGACTTCTGTTTTTCCATCACCATTAAATTTATTTGATTGTTAGAGGTACGCATTTTCTTGGATATTGTTTAGGTTGTTTACTCTTGTTAGTTAGCAGGGCTCTTGCTGATCAGTTAGAAGGTGATGAGGAGCAACATGGAAAATATCGCAGCATGGTGGTACAATATATAGCGGTAAATGGTGATGATAAAGGGAAAAGTCTTGGTTTTTGTTTTTGTTATAGTGTGGGTATAAATGTTTAGCAAGAATCTACTAATCTCTTTGCAGAGTTATTTTATTTCATGTTCTGATAGCAAAATCTCATTTAATCATTAAATAAGATATTTATTCTAGCACACAAATGGACTGGTCTAGTGAGCACATGCAACTCCCCCATGCATGAACAACCTAAATGTAGAAAAAGATGATGATTGCATTTCGCCTAATTGGCCGAGTGTGGCATGATCTGCTATATATTAACTGATTTTCCTTTTTCATAGTATATTGTAATAAGTTAGAAGCATTGCTAATTTCTATTTACTTAGATGATGTTTCACAACTTTGTTGCTTCCTCCCTTGTTTTCCCTCGCCCCCTCTCTGTGTCTCTCCGATCTTTTCTTCTGATTGAGGATCCAATTTGTTGAAGAATCTCATTTTGTACCTGATATTAACAGAAGAACCGTGAAATGTTTGAACCTTTTATCGAGGATGATGTCCCATTTGATGAATACTGTCAGTCCATGGAAAAGGACGGCACATGGGCTGGACATATGGAAGTACAGGCAGCTTCTCTTGTTACTCGCAGAAATATATGCATACATCGAGTAAGATCTTATCTTTTCCTCTCTTCTAAGGTTAGCCTTGAGTATTGTGGAACTCATCTCTCATGTTGTACATGGTACATAGAACATGTCGCCTCGCTGGTACATAAAGAATTTTGACGAACGTGGAGCTCACATGGTCCATTTGTGAGTGTTGTAGAATTCGTTTCTTGTTTGCACTGTTCAATTAGCTTTTACATTCCTTGATAATAGAAAAAGGCAAGAATTACCCTTTGTTATTGCTTATTTTCTTGCGTAAAAAGCTCTACATATTTCCGTAACTGAAAACAATGCATGAATAGATATTTTGTAGCCACTTGATGGTAGTGAGGACTATTCCTTGTTGCAATGTAATTATATAGTAGCATTCAGGAACTGTAACCATAAATTGCAGATTTGGCAGGGGCCGTTTTCTCAATATTCTTTGTTTCTTTTGCCTCCCACTTCTTCTTTCTATTTTTTAGAGGATTAAAAATGGAAAATTTTCTTCTAACCACAGAAATCAAAGAATAGGCTATATTTGAACCTTGTATGTTTTGACATTTTTATTCAACAATTTTTTTTGGTTTGGGAGGTTGGTTCCTTCCAGGTATTTATTGACTCAAACAATTATTGACTTGGGAAATTATGAAACAGGTTCATTTGCAAATATTGAAACAAAATAAGCAACCAACTGCACCTCTGTTGAATCATTCAAATAATATGTCAGAAATAAAGAATAGAAATGCATTATTAGGATCAGCCAATAAAATACATTGAGCTTTGACCTCCTTTAAAGTAGTTGTTTGAGCTTCCTGTCCTTGTGTATGAGCTAATACAAGTGACTGCCAGCTGATGCTCAGCATTTCAAGAAAACATTGTTTCCTGTGATTCTTTTATTCTTGTTTTTTTCACATCGCTGTTATTGTTTTACTATATTGATTCATAGTAGACAGTTTCAGTTCTGCTGTCTGATTTGCAAATGTATTGCAGATCTTATCATGACGAGGAACACTACAACAGTGTAAGATTAAAAGAAGACCCCAATAATGGGCCAGCAATGCCAATTATAATTAAGGTTTGTGTTTGTAGTTTTCACTGTGCTGATTCTTGTATTTATTCTGCTCATAACTTTGGATGTCTAAAGTGGTAATGATAGCCTAATAACTTTTAGTTCTCAAAAGGCTGATGCTGATATCTCAGCGTCAACTAATCAAGCAAAAGCTGCAGTTAGCAAGCCAAAGGGGGCAGCTGGTAAGGACAGTATCAATACAGGATCAATCAAAATGGTAATGGCTGGAAGTGGTTGTGAAAGTGCTGAAAAAGTTGAACAGGTGATGACAAAGTTGAATTTGTTTTTTCTGTGTGTCTTTTTATCTCCTGTATGATTGTGGTTTTCTTTAGTTATGGCCTCAAAGCCTGCTATTTTCTATACTAAGGAGTCATGACATGCATGAAATAGTTTTTCCTCCTTACCCTTACTTTACCGCACTTGTAATTCTTCAGGTTTTGCTACAAGTAGATGGTGATGTTGATGCTGCTATAGAGTTTCTGGTAGCAGAACAAGGAACGGAAGACTACGCAGCTGAAAGTGATTCACTTACTCATCATGTAGATGGTTCTTATGGTAATGGCCGGTCGGTACATTTACACATTCTAGATATTTTTGTTAGGTTTCACCTACATTGATGTTTATCTGCTCTTCTTGATAATGAAAATTTCATCATTTTGTAACATTTTATATGGGTTTTTTGGGTTAGTAAGATGGTTGTTGAGGAGATTAGAAAGATCGTTACGAGATGAAATATGAAAAGCCTATCAAATAATATATATGGGTCCTAACTCTTTTGGAGTATGCAGTGGCGGCAATCATCTCGGTTGCCTCCATTATTGGATTTATCTGTCTAGTGTGAAGATTTCATGGCAGATCTGAGTAGGAAGATTATTTTTCCTTTTTTTTTTTTTTACTTAAAATGAAACTGCACTAAAACTAGCAGAAGATTTTTGTTGCATTCCTCCTTTTCGTGTAATTTTTTGTAATTAGTTTCCTTAATTACTCTAAAGAGGAAGATAAGATATGTTTTGATTGTCTAATGTTAAATTTGATTTATTTTACTTAATGTCTGCTTGACATTTTGTGAGGTTTCACTTTGCTTTTACTTTCTATGATGTTTAAAGAGACTATGCTTTGACATATATGGTACATATATGTTTTCAAATGCGGTATCCAGGAAATGATGATGTAAACAGTGAAAAACACAAGGAAGAAGCTTTAAAGAAGACCTTTGAACAGGATGCATCTAGTGATAGCATTAAAACTCTTGATGATAGCAGTTCTCGAAAAGATGACAAGGTTTCATGCTATGTAAAAATAAGAAATCTTTTCTTTTTCTTTTTCTTTTTTTTAAAAACATGGTTTGAAAGTAAGGTATTCACTCTCTTTTCCTCTTTAACCTCCCAAACCGCAGAAGATTCCACGAAACAAGATCTGCCCTTGTGGATCAAAGAAAAAATACAAGGCTTGTTGTGGATCAGTCTCGGGGAGGTCATCGACCAAGTTTATAGTGTATAATACCTAAACTCTTCTTTATCTTTTGGTCTATTGCTATTTAGCTAAATGCAGTTTGTGTGGTTCTACTACTGAGGTTCAACTAAACACCGGTAAGCAAGTGGACATTCTTTTGTAGCGCATAACAATATGCCTATTGTTAATCTTGATATGAATCAGAGCTTGAGTCTCTCTCATTCTTTCATTTTGTGTGGTTCAGATGTTTCTTGAGTGTCAAGTTTCTTAATAGTTGACCTCTCGCAGAGATGTTAACAACTCCTGAGAAGAAAGAGCTCATTATTTTCCAATGTTACAATTTTGCTGTGTAGTAACCAAACAACGGATGCCAGAAAGGGTAAAAAGGTACAGAAACAAGGCAAGAAGGGAGCATCTGCTAAATCTGCAGCATCCTCTGGATCTGAGGGAGGGCCACCAGACATGGGTGCACTTTGCATATGACCTTAATATCATGTGATTCCCTGTGCCACTCCTATTATCCTCGATTATTATCTATTTTTTGCTAATTGATGCTTAAGTGGGTATATTTTTTCATTGTAATCTTCCAATGAAAGTTGATTTTCATTTTAAATGCATGAGCATCATTGGAAGATTACAATGAAAATCATGCAGTTTCTTCCTCATCTAAAATGAAAATCAACTTTCATTTGAAGATTACAATGAAAAAATATACCCACTTAAGCAGCAATTCGCAAAAAATAGAAAATCAACTTATTGCAGAGAAATTTAAGCCATCTTATATTAGTGTATCTTGCTGATTATTTTGATCTATCTATGTAGGTCTCTATGTGCGATATATTGGGTCTTGTCCCCAAGTGGCGCCAATCTGTTTCCTACTTTCAAGCAAGGGCTTATGCTGTGAACCTCTGAAAAATGAATTTGAGTACTCATGGCCTCGTTTTGATGCTCATGCATTTAATTCTTATGATTCCTCAGCACATCCAAATATTAGCAGGCCAAACAGGTTCTGCTTTTCAACTCCAGTTTATTTTGAGATTCGCTGCAAACGGGGTCTCTATTCTTTGACAAAAAGTGGGATTATACAACAGAGAATGATGAAGAAAAGAGAAGGAATGGAAATGGTACAGATTTTTGTTTAACATATATTGAGCTTTGACAATTCTGAGAGTTAGTGACAGATTCACGATGGTGATGAGCAACATTTGCTTCTTTTAGGAGCATAGAAGATATAATTGTAAGGATGTGATTATAGTAAACGGATGTATAACTATCTTGTGCATGCATATGGAACACGTACATTCAATGATGTGAGTGTTTTATTCCTACTGCAAGTCATTTTTGAATGGATCTTTTTTCAACTAACTTGGCGAGAGAAATCTGAAGGAAATGAAAAGGAGAGATGACATGTTCATTGGATTGGAACTATTGGGTTCATGCGTCTAAAGTTGGTAATTGATGATAATTTAGAGTTATGGCTGCTTCAACTTTGAAGCATTTATCACCTAATTTGAGTTAAACTTCTCTTTGCAAAGTAGTGGTTTCGATTTATGGACTACGTTTTCAGCTTTATATAAAAATCTCAAGGGAGGAATCTTTGACAAGTCGCCAATGAACGTCAAGTCCTTGAAGAAGTTCTGAATTGGGTTTTTTCATGCTCCATTTGGTGAAGTCTCAGGCAAATACGTTTCTGAACCCAACGGATGACTTCTTTCGGGCTGAAAGCCCATCACAAACTTGTTGATCGAATTTGCATGCAGTGGGATAAATTTGTGGGTCTTTTAGGGCTTCAATGAAACAGGTTCATGGAGCTTGAACACCGACTGATCGACGGGTTAAAAGTCGATGCAAAACTTGGCTTACAAAATAAACAAAATCTATAATTAGAAAGTGGGTGAAGGCTCACAAACTTTGCTTTGATCAGTAAGATTCTTCTTTCAAGGAAAACGGTTCACTGCAAATTCCACAACGAGCAACAACGCTAAGTCGTTATCATGATCAACCATGTAAAACGTTTTGAACCAACCTATGTGCTTACCTTAGAAAAACGTTGCCCAAGTTTCCACGTCTTAGGCTGCTTTTTGCCCATTGCCGCGATTATTACTCACCCTTTTTAGTGAAAACTGAAAACCACCCATCGGGAAGTAAAGCAAAGTCTTCTTTGCCTAATTAGGTAACTCGTAGCCATCTTCCTTTGTCCCAAAGGGGGAAGTTATTATTTTTTTCTCGCGTGGGATTAGACAATTTTGACAAAAGCACCATGATAATTAGCACCCAAAGGGCAGTCACATCCCATCAAACATTAAATTCCAGCTTAGCTGTTTGTTTTAAATACAATATATATATATATATATATATATATATTATAACAGCATGATTGTGCTTTATGAAGATGTTCACGAAATTTTCTTTTCTTTCTCTTTCCTTTTAAGTAATCATTGAAAATGCTTCCCATCGTAGAAAGAAAAAAATGGCATTGATTCGTTTAAGGAAAAACCTTGTTAACAGTTGTCATTGAATTCTCTAGATGTTCAAAGGGCGGATTAACGACACCATCTACAGTGGAATTCTCATAACCCATGCTTTGAACCCATATTCATTAATACAAAACCAACTGCCTTCGATTGCTGGGATTCACACCAAAACTAGAAGAATGGATTCAATCTCTTTCTTCCAACAATACTAAAAATGTAAAATCCTAATCGATTTTTCCCTTATCAATTAAATTAATTTACATGGATAATAACTTTAGTTATTTACGTAAAAAAAAACAAAGTTAAATTTTACTAGATTGAATAATTTGGTTCTTTTCACATGTCCTACAAAAATATTTAACCTAACTTCTTTATTGACCTGATCATGTGTGTTTCCACACTAACTGCTACGAGAAAATCATGTTGTATATACGAAGGTGTCAATTAATTCATTTTAGGATCAAATTACGTTGCATAATTCAATTATTGAATAAGAAAAAGGATAACGTAAATTTCATTGTCACATTTTCTGCTTCAGCCCTTCATGAAAACAAATATAGCATGGACCGTTCAAATCAAATATAGAAGAAATTTCAAGACAACTTTTCTTCTATGCGTTTTTTTTAGTGTATTCTTCCCAACAAGTATAGAACTTTCATGTGACTCATATTTTCCTCATCTATTTTCAATGCAAAAGAACCAAAAACTCACGTCAGAATATAATTAATTTGTACCAAAATTCAAGCAAAAAGAAACCCCCCGTACAAGTAAGAGAAGAAAAAAATTATTAGGAGAATGCTAAATAAATACACATACTTACAAATATGTACTCGTTTTTCCTTAGGACAAGAAACCCCTTGTCTTAAGAAAAAACGAGTACATATTTGTAAGTATGTGTATATATTTAGTATTCTCTTAATAAATTTCTTGCTTTAAAAAAACTTTATTACATTAAGAAAACCAATTCTATAACATATGATGTTGTTGTCTACGGAAATACTAAATTTAAAAAGAAAACATGGGCCTAATTCGAAGTTGATTTTTCTTTTATATAGTTTCTGTTGTTTTATTTGTATTCAGATATTTGATTTAATTTTTTTTTCTCTAGAGGTATATATGAGAATCGCACAAAACAGAAATTCAAATATTTCTCTTTTCTTTTATTTTTTTTTTCAGATTATTTAGCAATGTCTTATAGTTTATGTACTTAATTTTCATTTGTCCTTATTAAATTAGCTACCAAGTTAAAATATGCACTTACATCTTGAACAGTACATTGTATTATGGGTACCAATGTTAGGAGTCATCATTTTCAAGGGAAGCCCCACCTTCCCCCATTAATACCACCTAAGGGGAAACGAATGGCTAAAGATGGTTGGTTTGTCGTGGCCACTTTCAAGCCTCTCAGCACACAAAACACAAAACACAAAACTTTTTATCAACTTATATATGAATCTCTACAATCTTTCCAAACAAGGAAAGAGTTGTAATAAGCAATCTTTAATAATTGAAATTATATACATATATAAAAGGGAAAACATAGCTCCTGATCAATCGCATTATTTTTTCTCCCTCTTTTTTTTCCCCTGTTGTCCTCAACCATCCTGCTCCATGACAGGTTCAGTGACAATAATGCCACGTGCATACAAGCCTGTAACATTCAATAAGTTAGTACTCAGAAAACCCCACCATTGATATTACTCTGAAAGCAGCAGATTCATAAGATTTCATTTGATTATTTTGTTTTATTCATATTCAATGCCCCAATATTCGTTGTGGAAATTTTCTAAAATATCAACAGATTGCATGCCGTGTCGGCAAATTTCACATGATTAATGTTATCAGTCTTACGTTGTTTGATTTTTTTTCTTCTTTCCTTTTTCCTTTCGTTGCTTCCTTTTCACCGAAAAGGTGAAAATAACAGCCATATTTCACGTTTATTGGTGGACCAAAGCTACGAGGTTCCATATTCGGCAGCTGACAAAAACTAGACATGAATTCATGAGAGAGAGAGTGGTTAATTTCTTTGCTTATCTGAAATTTTTCATAAGCTGATGGAGTCGTATTAAGCAAAGGAAACCTGTCATACACGTAGACAGCCATTGACAGATAAGAGAAATGATCGTATAACAATGGAATATGGTCAAAAACATCATCTTCTAACTTCTTTGATGGAATATCAATGCCTTTCGTTAAAAAACAATAAAAACAGGGAACATGGTCAAAACTATTAGGTAGTCTAATGTCAAAATTTGAGGCTCGAATTTTCAACTCTTTATCAAGACCTTGTCTTCTTTCATAGGGAGATAATTAGGTAGAGATTACGAAAACTAATCAGTCTTAAGGCAATAGCTAGGTTACAGCTCTACATATACCTAAATCCATAGCTTTATTTATTCTCTAATTGCTGTTATATGTACAAACTAATCTTCATGCACATAATTGAAATCTAAACTTTCTACTTAAATTCTAATCGTTTAACACACTCGGGTTCAGTATTAGTTAAAATAGTAGCGATTGATGCATAAAGATCAAGTAAAACGATGTCATCACAACAGCAAACTGTGTCCACGAAAACGTTAGCCGTGTACGGACAAAGAACTATTATGACGTTATTCTCTAAAATAGAGAAGAAGTCTTAAAATTGATTGAGCCTTTATTCGTTGTCATGCCTATACGTACAAAGAAAGAATTCATGTTGGTAGCCAAAATTTGTTTAGGAAAAGAGGGACCACGGGAGGCTTGCCCTTCTATTTCTAGTTGTTTTACTAATCGAAAGGACTTGTATTTTCTTCGCAAGTGGTCCACCTGCTTAACGTAAGTCCAAGGAAAAGAATGAACCCTTTTCTTTTTTTGCATTTAATTGTTTGAGCTGGAAGAGAGCTATGGTTGCAATTTGTGGACCGATCGAGCACCCCTATTGCAACTACATGGATGAGATTAGGATTTTGAGATGCTTGAGTTATTGACCCAAAAGTTGTTAGGTCGTGAAAAGAACAGAACATTAATGTAGTTATGCAATATCCCTGTGGTCTCAAAAGAGGACATATATATGAAAACCTAGACCAGGCTGAGACACACAGTAAATGAAGCAGTAATTTTTTTTTTCATAGAAGTTATGCTTCTTTTTATTGTTGGTTGAACAGAAGTGAAAGAGATGACTGTTTTGCAACATGCACGTGGCAAAGAAAATAGAGCCCCATGCCATTATCATTTCCTTGTACCCCCTCCCCCCCAAAAATGGGGTTAGCAAGCATGCTTTCGAGCACCGTTATCCTCTTGTTTTATTGGCTATATACCGATTGCCCAATGGAAAAAAATATCTTTCCAAAAAAGAAAATATCCTTTGAATGCATTATCTCCATGGATAGCACCAAATTAATTGAATATCTTTGTTAGTTTTGTTGCTAATGGAAGATTTTTGTTTCATCCGAAGTAACCTTCTCATTGCTCTTGACACCTGAATTTGGAGTTTTTATTTGATATAAGCATCACAATTATTATTGGAAAATATCCAATGATGTTTATAAGTTCACTTTACCATAGTAATTATGGTCTATATTTGAGAAAAAAAATAATGGCTTTTCGAGGTTGAAGACAGCAGATGGGAAGAGATAAGCGAAATCCGAATTCTAATTGCAACAAGCATCAAGGCAAAAGGTTGGGGGCAGAAAGATAATGCTTTGCCAACGCTATTTCATTGTCCATGACAGGCACGCCTTATCTCAAGCCTGGCTTTGGCTTTAACTAGAATCCTAACCAAGGAAACAAAACAATAAGAGCCAACCACCAGTCCAGCAAAGCAACCCACTAGAGAAAGTGAAATGGCCTTGAAAATCATTTTCATTATTATTAATTATGATTTTCTTGAGAAAAGAAGAAAACCAAAAAGCTAAGGCA